TACATGGATCTCATGGTTAGTCTCTGTTTCTCGTCATTTCTCCCAGAAGATGCTTGAATCTGTAAAACAGAGCTCCATAGTTTGTCAATGGTTTCAATTATCGATTATTTCGATCAAGTTCCATTCGAATTCCGATTCACTGAAGTTAAGTTAGATTCGTCTCGGATTATGCGTGAGGAGGAATTCCAATTCACTGAAGTCATTTAGATTTGGCGCATTTTACTCTATCTCAGGGGTTAGCTCATTTCTGTCAAATTTAGTTATACCTATTAAAGATCTTCCTGCAATGGTTGATAGATTGTTCATAATCCTTGCTCAATCGGGTTTATGAGGTTTCTGTTAAGTTGAATGACAGTTGTGCGAGTGGTCTTATTGAGAAACATGCCACAATCTGGTGGTTTTATTGGCTTGGTGCAGATTAAAAAGTCGAATATGGAAGTGCTTCTGCAAAGACATGTTCAAATGGCCGCCGAGATTAAAAATCTCGACACAGACTTGCAAATGCTAGTCTATGAAAACTACAACAAGTTTATCAGTGCAACGGATACCATCAAAAGGTACTTTGTAAGCGCTTGTGGATCGTTTAAGGTGTAAAGTGTGTGGTTTACTTAAGTAATTTTTATGTATGATTCAATACGTGTAAGCTAAGTTCAAACTGTTGCTTCTTTACCTGGTAGGATGAAGAGTAATATTTTTGGGATGGAAGGCAATATGGATCAGCTTCTTCAGAAGGTATTTTGGACGCATGGAATAACGTGTAGTTTTAGGTGTTTCGACTTAATGTTGTATGAACTTCTAACTCATAGTATGATCTCCTAAATTACTGCTGCAGATAATGTCAGTGCAATCAAGGAGTGATGGCGTCAACACTTCTCTTTTTGAAAAGAGAGAACACATAGAGAAACTGCACCGGACACGTAATCTTCTTCGTAAAGTTCAGGTATGTAATGAATCATTGTTGCTATATTGTTACCTGATTATTATAACATTGGTATGCTGCTTGCTTTTGTGAATTTACTCAAAAACTTGTTTTTGTTAAAAAGAGCAGTTCATTTATGATCTACCTGCAAGACTCCAAAAATGCATCAAGTCAGAAGCCTATGGCGATGCTGTCAGGTTCTATACTGGAGCAATGCCAATTCTCAAGGTTTATACCTGTCCTCGGATAACTTCTCATTTGTTATTGTATCCATTTCCTTATATATATTAAAAATTTGTCATTCTGTTCAGGTATATGGTGATACATCTTTCCAAGAGTGCAGACGAGCTTCCGAAGAAGCTATAGAAATAATCATAAAGAACTTGCAGGTGTGCCTTTTGGTCCTAGTAGTCATAATAGTCTGAATTAATAGACATCTGCATACTGGATTATTAACCTGATAAACAAATAACTAGTAGTCTCGTTTTTGTTTGTGATTTTTTTGAATTCTTGATGCGAGAAACTTATTTTATCTTTTCCAACAGACGAAGCTATTTTCAGACTCAGAATCCATACAGGCGAGAGCTGAAGCTGCAGTGCTTCTTAAGCAGTTAGATGTCCCTGTTAGTTCTCTCTCTCAACTCAATTATTTGTGACCTGCTTAATCTGATAATGCATCTATAATTCGGGTAAACACTGCTCGCTGTTGCATAGATACATCAACTGGTTGTTGTGACATATATTCGGATGCGTCTGCAGGTTGATAGCTTAAAGGCCAGGCTGTTGGAAAAGCTGGAACAATCTCTTGATGGTCTTCAAATAAAGCCTGAGGACGCAAGTAAACTTGTAGAGCACAATGATTCATCAAAGGATGAGGAAAGCAATAACCAAGGTCCTGCTAAAATACATGAGGTAAACATGGACTATGCCACTTCCTTGTGTCTTGTGTTTCTGACAAAAACTTGCAACTTGAAACACAGTAATACTGAATGTATTTGCTAATCACTTTGAATATCAGCAACTACTTTCAGTGGATTTTTGTTCATTAGCCATCACATTGAGAATTCTTTTCTTTTACTTATTTTGTTCTATCAGGCTTGACGAGCTTTTTGCACTTCCGATATTTTATTGTCTGCACCCTTTTTTCTAATAGGACGCTGTACGTGGATTTTCTGAGGCTATGCGTGCTTATCGAGAAATATTCCCTGACTCGGAAGAACGACTTTTTAAACTCGCAAGAGCCCTAACAACAATGTAAAGCACTTTTTTAATACATTTAATGAAAGATTAAGCCTTTGGAGTTTCTAACACTTACGGTTAATAGGCATTTTGAGAACATGGAGCTATATATAAAAAAACGGGTGTCTGCAGCAGATTTTCTTGGAATTTTCCGTGAGTACAGTGATTTTTCCTGTCTATTTCCTTATGTTGCTTCTCTTTACCTCTGAAAGCTTTGATAAAATCAGTCTAATAACAGTACACATTGTTTGATTTCTCTGATGGACATAGGAATTATATGGGAAGATGTGGTACTTATGGACGAGGTTCTACCTGAGGCTGCACTCTCTGATTTATCTGCAGAGGTTACCCTCAAATCGTTTTCTATGGCTCTTCTTTTTGCTATGATGAGTATATATGTTTACTAGTACTCGTCATTGCAGGCTGCCCAAGTTACTCTTAAACAATTTGTTGCGAGGACGTTTTCTAATCTTCAACAGGATATATCAGGTTTGCTGTTTCTTACTATATCTGCTGGATTCAGAATATCATAGTAAAGGAAACAGAGAGAAAGAGTACCATTCAGAATACGTCTTGTGACATAGTTTTTGAAGAAATCAGAGCTAAAGTAAGGTCTGTATATATGTGACAGATACTCTCTTGAAATTCGATATCAACCAAAAGGAAATAGTGGACGGGGAAGTATTAAAGGTTGTCCTAGAAGCTAGCAGAAAGGCAGTTCTTCAAGGCACTGCAGATATATTTCAGGCAGATTCCATCTTCTGTTACTAATGACAATGTTTGATTTTGGCTATCATTTCCTCCTAAGTACAAATCCCATATTCAAAAACGCTTTGAAACCATCTCAGGAATTCCGTCAGCTTCTTGATGAAAGCTCTGGAATATTTGTCAAGATGAAGGACTTTCTCGTTGGTTGGGTTCAGAAAGGATTTCAAGACTTCTTCAGGTCACTTGACGCTCACTTCCTAGTGCTTTCAGGGAAAACTAGCTCATCAAACGAGACTGAAGGAAAATCGAGTGAGAAAATCCATGCTGGTCTCATCCTTGTACTCGCGCAGCTCTCTGTATTCATCGAGCAAAAGGTCATCCCGAGAATTACTGAGGTAACAAACAACTCTTATTACACCTGGTTTGATACAAAAGCTTAAAAAGAGTTTAAACCACATCGGTAGCGGAATTGAGAAGTTCCATATGTGTTAATTCAGGAAATAGCTGCTTCCTTCTCTGGCGGAAACTCCCAAGCCTTTGAGAACGGGCCTGCTTTTATTCCTGGAGAACTGTGCCGGGTCTTCCACGCAGCCAGCGAGAAACTTCTCCAGCATGTACGTATTAGACTCGAAAACTTGAGTTTTGTTTACAAAAACTATAATTAACTGACCAAATCATATCATATTTGCAGTACATAGACACAAGAACACAGAAGATATCGGTTGTGCTAAGAAAGAGGTTCAAGACACCAAACTGGATTAAGGTATAGCTCTTGTCTTGTGACTAATCTTTCTTAAAGAAGCATTTTACCAGTCAATTGTTTTTCTAAAGATTCTTAACATTCTGCAGCACAAGGAGCCACGAGAGGTTCACATGTTCGTCGATATGTTTCTTCAACAGGTTTGACAACTCTTGTTTTTTTTCAGTCACCAACTAAAGAACATTTTACGGAATAATCTCATTATCTCTTTTGGATTTCGGCTTCTTCGCAGCTAGAAGAAGTTGGTAAAGAAGTGAAACAAATTTTACCTCAAGGGACTTTCCGTAAGCACAAGAGATCAGACAGCAACGGGAGTAACACTACAACCTCATCACGGAGCAATACACTCCATAGCGATAAGATGGCACGGTCGAATTCACAGAGAGCTCGAAGCCAGCTTTTCGAGACACATCTTGCAAAACTGTTCAAGCAAAAAGTAGAAATATTCACCAAGGTCGAATTTACCCAGGTGAGAAGATTTAAACAATATCTACGAGGTTCCCTAATATAGTTAGCTTCAAACACACACACAAGCGTTATCTCCTGATCTTGCAGGAATCCGTTGTTACGACAGTAGTAAAGCTCTGTCTGAAGAGTTTGCAAGAATATGTTCGGCTCCAAACGTTTAACCGGAGCGGGTTCCAGCAGATTCAGCTAGACATTCAGTTCTTGAAAGCTCCGTTGAAAGAAACAGTTGAGGACGAAGCTGCAATTGATTTCTTGCTCGACGAGGTGATTGATTACACCAAAAGCTTTCTTCCTTCGCTTTACTTCTAGCTTTAGCAACTGACTAAACTTTCTCGGAACGTGTTGTGTGTACTTAACAGGTGATCGTTGCGGCTTCAGAGAGGTGTCTTGATGTTATTCCATTGGAGCCACCGATCTTGGACAAACTCATACAAGCTAAGCTCGCTAAATCAAAAGAGCACAACAACAACACAGTTCCCTCTTGAAAATTATAAAGCCATAACTCAAAAACCAAGTGTGTGTCTCTCATGATTTTTTGACATTTTCTGCTTCTTGTTATATCGTCCGTAGTGTAAATCAAACCATTAAATTGTTATGTATTTCAAAAGCTCTTTTATGTTAAACTTCTTGTCTTATACGTTATTTTCTAGACTAATTCGCAATAGATTAAGGGTTTGACACATTTTCTCTGAGGTATTAAAACCCTAAATGAAACTAAAATAGAAGTAAATTTACATTAAAACCCTAAATTAAATTAATTTAGAAAATATCCTTTTCGCACGAAAAAAAAAAAGAAAATATCCTTAAACGGTCGGTCGAGTCACGGATCCTTATATACAAAGAGTTTCCTTCAATCCAACATCATCGTGTAATTTTTTCCTCTGTAATCAAAAAAAGCGTAAAGCGATGGCAACTGCGATTCTCTCTTCTCGAAACCCTTTCCACAATCGATTCGATCATGAAACCCTAATCCACCGTAAACCTAATTCTCGCCCTAACCGCCGCTCTGACGCTGCTAAGACGGCTCCTCACCGACGCAAGAGTAACCCTAAGGCGTCTCAGTCCACGAAGTTGGTTGCGTCTCCGGCGGCGAATACCAATCTTGTTATGGGACAATTCAAGCTCCTCAAACGCGGCGAGGCATTGAGCGCGTTTCAGAACAAGGAGAATATTAGCTGCGTCGATCGTCGTGTTGATAAGAAGAAAAAACGACCTGTTTCGAGGATTAAAGATGTTGATCTGATTATATCGACGCCTACTAGGATTGGACCTGAACCAAAGATTGTGCAGGAGCAGGTCGGAGCTTTTAAAGGATCAAAGATCGTTGCCGGAAAATATGCCGGTACCGGTTGCTCAGTTTCTCCACCTCCAAGCTCTGTTCCAATTCCCCGGTTTCTTGGAGAAGAACAACCCCATTGTTTGATTCTCCAAGGAAGGTTAGAAAGGAAACCCTAAAATTGCAACCATCTCTTTGAAAGAAGATGTTGATGCATCCTGAGAAGAGAGAGGAAACAATTGATTGTTTACCTCAAAGAAGAACAGATGGAAAAATGTGATCTCCGACGCCAATTGCAACCAATCTTTGGCTGCTTAATAATTCCAACTCCGTAATGGAGTTTCTGGGGAGGAAGCAACAGTCACTGTGACTTCTTTTCTATGGCTTTTATGTTCTGTTTTGTGTTGTTCTTTTGTTTTTTGATTGTTCATGTGGTAAGTGTCGTTTGTAGTTGTCACATTATGATCACTTATTTTCCAATGTAATAATCACAAAGTTTCTAGTTTTGCAACAATAATGATAATGACAACACTAATCTTACAGCATCATTAATACACAAACATTGTCATTACTCATTGACAATTGAAAGTGCATGAATTTGTTTGGAAAAATTTCGTGGGATGATTTACCAGAAGGCTGCATAGGTGTTTAACTTGGAATCTTAGTTCGTGAAAGAATCTGACATGGCAATGTAGTTCGATTTCAATAACCAAAGGAAGAGTTGCAATAGAAACAAGACCAAGTCACATCTAAATTATGAAGAAGTAATTTTTGTTTTGCAGTCCTTAAACAGGTAAAAGATCACTTCTACGGCCTCTGAGTTAAGAAAACTTATAAAGAGAAAAGCACACATAAGAGGGTTTAGATAAAACGGATGTCAAAGGTGTTAGGATCAATCTGCCAAACATTCAAAGCTGCATATTCCTCCAAACACTCCTTAAGCTGAGCCTCACTGTATCCCTGTGTTTACATTCAAAATCACTCGTCTCAGTGATTTATCATAATCCATAAGAAGAAGAAAAGAAAAAAGAAGAAGAAGTAACTAACCTTTCTGGAGATCCAGTTAAGAGCATTTGCGTAGGTCACATGGGTCTTGTTCGATCTTGCAGCTTCGTCTCTAATGATTGAGTATGTGTCTGATATTGCATCCAGTCCTGCCTTCTGTCGATCATCCGCATACAGCGAGATTTTCGACATCTGCATCAGCCTAAGCGCCTCATCCACATCACTTTGCGCCACTGATTCTGAGAATCTCAACCTTGCTAGTGCCTACAGAACAAAAATCAAATCATATACTCAAAACTGTGCCCACAAGCCAAGTTTACTACTTTCCAAGTCTTTTTTTGTTTTCAAGTTCTACTTACAGCGGATATGCGGAGAATGCTGAGCAGGGTTCTCACTGTTGTGTAAGAATGAGGAGTGTTTGATTTGGCTTCTTCTTGTCTGATGCTGGAATAAGCTGTTGCTATGTATTCCTCTAACTCTGCTGGAACGTATGGTGATAATCTCCTCGCAGCTGAAATGTACGCACTAGAGAAACCACCAGAGATGCTCCATGTTAAAGAGTCTGTGACTCGGAAGAATAAGAAGAATTGCTGTGCAAGTGATTTAACTTACCGGAGAATGTTGGGTTCCAGTGGCTCGAAGCCAAGGGCGGGAGATTCTAGTGTCTGGTGCACGTGAAGCACATGCTTAGCCAATTCAAGATCGCTGTCCATATCAGCTCGATCCAGGATCAACCACAGAAGATCGAATCTTGAGAGAAGTGCTGGTGGAAGATTTATGTTTTCAGCTGGGGTTCTTCGCAAATCATATCTTCCCCTTCATTAACACATAGAATTACACAAGTTCAATAACCATTCAGCAATGATACCGCAACTTTCCATAAGAATGTTGTAATCCATATCATAAAATGTCGTTACCAGGCTGGATTGGCTGCAGCAAGAACAGCCGTTCGAGCGTTCAGAGACGTCGTGATCCCAGCTTTAGCAATGCTCACAGTTTGCTGCTCCATGACTTCATGAATTGCAGTACGATCTGATTCATCCATCTTATCAAACTCATCAATAGCACAGATTCCCATGTCAGCCAGGACCTGAAATAGAAAATTGTATCAAATGTTCTAAATCACATAGCTCTTAGCAAAGAAAAAACATCCAAATTGAAGAAGCATGTTAACTCACCAGTGCTCCGCCTTCTAAAACCATCTCATTTGTTACTTGATCTCTCATAACAGCGGCGGTTAGACCAACTCCACTGCTACCTTTTCCTGTTGTGTAGACTCCCCTGGGAGCAACATTTATAATGTGCTTGAGAAGCTGACTCTTGGCAACTCCAGGATCACCCATCAGACATATATGCACATCTCCTCTAATCTGCAAGATAAGACGATATAGTTGGAGATGAACTAAAGTAAACATCTGCTTTTATCATAAAAAGGTTGCAACGTGATGGAAGCAGCGAAAGAGAAAACTAGAGGAAAGGAGACTTCACCTTCATCCCATCCTTTAGTTGCCTGTGAGGAGCACCCACTAGAAGGAGAAGCAAAGCTTTTTTTATATCTTCATGACCATAAATCTCAGGGGCCAGAGATCGCGACAGTTTATTGTAAATGTCACCATCCTCAGCCAAACGTGCAATCTGTTCTTCCTCATCTTTCTGAAACTCATATCTGTAGATCATAATAACAATGTCAAGATACTTTTCTGATATTGTGGACACACTACATCCATTTTATAACTTAAAACGAATGCGAAAACTATGAAATAGGTTACTAAATCAAATGTTTCTTAAGAGTAGCAACGACTTACTCCTCATATTTCTTCTTGAAATGAGTCACAGATGTTGCTTCCAGATAAGTGTCTGCTACTAGGCCAGCTCGAAGTGCCTTAAACCCAGTGTAAGGAATGGGAAGAAAAATCCCTGAGAATTCAACAACGTCACCTGGTGATACCTACAAGAGTTTAAGGGAATCTAGTAAGAAATTACATTTCTACTACGGTAAATGACACTGAAATAACAATTTATATTGACAGAGTCTCGCTTCAGCAATGGAAAGATCCTCTTACTACAGGGTAAGCACTGATAAAAAAAATGCAATTGCTGAGCTGCACCGTTAAAAGTTATCTACTTCACATCTAATGAGGATTCAGATTCCTGTCACAGTGTTACATTAGGATCTTTTGAACCCATCAAAGCTAGAGTATTCGGTTTATTCGATAACTGCTATAATTATGCATTTAAGCCGAGCAATTCCATTTTTCACCGTTGAACTATTCCTAAGCAACCTAGCTATTGATTCTGAAAGAATAACAACAAGACTCCAGCATGGGACAAAGGTCAAGAAAAACAACCTTTCTTGTCAACTCTCCTCTTAGATGAACAGTCATTGACCTCGGAATATGCCCTTTAGGTACATGCTCAGCCAACTCTTGCATCTTAGCCTGCAATACAATGAAATCTTTTACTCATCAACTTGATATAACCAGTGCAACAACATTCGTATAAACAACACTCATCAACCAGAACAGAACCTCCTGAAACTTTAGAAACTTTGATGCTCTGAGCTGAAGAATAGGATTTCCGGCTTTGCTGTTAAGGCGACAACGGCTGGAGGGGCACTTAAACAAAGGCATGAAAACTCTAGCTGTAACTTCCTGATTTTGGCACGTAACAGAGAGATAATCAGAATTGGTATAAGTAATAAAGAAACTACAATCTGGCAGGCATAGACTCATAGTTAAATACCTGGTAAATTTCATGACCACAATCTTCGCATGTGTACACAGCAACCGCCATCAATGGCTTGACATCCGAACAACGGGTCACAATTCCAGATATCCTGACAAGATGCCCAATGTGTGAAGCCTTAACCTCCCTGATGGTAGCTGGCCTCCCCTTTGAAGGAGCTTTGAAATAAACCTCACTGAATCAAAACAAAATCCATTAGCAAACTTTTGTAAATGGCAAGAACAGTTCACAAACAATGAAGATACAAAAGCTACACAAAGAGAGGTATAACAAAACTCACTAAAATCTTTTAATCTCCGAAGGAATCTGCTGGCGCGGATCAGGAACATCTGCATTCTCAGTGCCATCGTCGGCTCTCTGTGTCATGAGTATGTCATGATCATCATCTGGAAACGCCTCTGTTGGTTCAGGAAGCAACTCGTCGATAGCAGAGGAGAAGATGGAAACGTATCGGCGGGTGTTCTCAGTCAACCGTCTGAAAAACTCCTCATCAGCGTCCTTATACTAAAACGGCAAAAGAGACGCCGAGTAAGTTTTCACTTGGCTTTGCAAAAATTCAACAAAGGAACAAAAGGAGAGAAATACAAAAAAACTCACATTGAATAAGTCGGTGAGATCGACCTGAATAGCTCGAATCTTACGATTCGCAACTTCTTGCTACAGATATCAAAAAGCACACAAAAATGAGCCCAGAAATAAATTCCACAATACGCGAAACGAGAACGAACAAAAAAACAACAAATAGATACAGCTATTGGACCCAGCGGACATAAGCGAGATTTACCAATTTCAATTATATTGTTGATTTATCGATTGAACCCTAATTTACGGAGTTTCGCTAAACCCTAGAAGAGAAAATTTGGTAAACACAAATCAGGAGAAACTCACGAGAATCTCCAAATACTTAGATCCGCCATTCGCGTCGGCGAAATTCGCCAGAAATTCCTTGGCAAACGCTGCAGAACAAAAAAAATTGTAAAAAATCAGTCACAGAAGAACGAAAGAGGAAGAGTTTATCGAGAAGCAGAAAGATTTTACCTTTGTCGGCTTCAAAATCATACTCTTTCATGGTTGGAAATTAGGCTAGAGAGAGAGAGCGTCGGAGACTGAAAGAGAGATGAAGAGAGAGTGACTGGGAAATTAGGCGGCAAAGCGATGTAAATGAAGATGAGATTTTGGCGGGAAAATTACAGAGAGTGACGACGAGAAATGGCGGGGGTTAAATGGACGGTCCAGATCTAACGATATCAAGTGCAGATGTCGAAAAAAAATATTAAAAAAAAAAAAGAGAGAGGAAAAAAAGTGTGGCTGCCGGGATTCGAGCCCGGGTCCCCACGGCCACAACGTGGGATTCTAACCACTAAACTACAGCCACTTTGATGTTTAACATCACATTTTTTATTTAATTATTACTGTTTAGTTTACGATTAAATTTCTGTTTCCAATAATGCTTTGATATTTGCCTATTTGGACGTTTACGTACAGCGAATGTGGGACAAAATCATGTCAATTTCATTTTCCTTCTTCAGCGATAACTAGTTTGTGCTATTTCTTCTCACACTTTTAATTTTCTGTTTCCTCAAAGCCATTGTTATGATTTCATCATCTCCTTTTCTTTTTTCCCTCAGTGTTTAGGTTTTGATTAGATCTGTCATTCGTCATCTATTCGACTATAATTTTTTTTTTTTTTTTGCATTTTCATCAAACTTGGTCAACAACATCTGTAACATCGCCTTCATATTAGGCGACAAAAATTAATGTAATAAATAGCAAACGGAGTCTGAGCAATTTCAGTCTACAATCTTCTTCTTTCTTTCTCACCTGTAAGTCTTCTTAATTAAACACTTATTATTCCAAAATTCTTCTGGAATCAAGACAGAATCTGTTTTTTTTTTTTTTTCCAACCTAAGACTATCAATCACACATGTCAGGATTCTTTACTTTCTGTCTGGGAACAATTATTATTGTTATTGTGTTTTTTTTTTCTCTGTTCATAATGACTTAAAACGATTTTTTTTTCCCAGGTGTTGAACGGATTAAGATTGGAGATTCAAAAGTATAAAGAACTTTCTCAACATGACGTTTGGCAAAAAGGTAAAAACAAACAAAAAAAACGCTTCTTTTCTCTAATTTAATAGGAATTTATCCAACGATTAAGAAAATTTGTGAAAATTGGATACTCAAATTATATCATGTTAAGATAAGGTCAAGAACAAAACACGAAGTCACACGCAATTATCACAAATGTGAAAGACGGAAAAAAATGAATCTAAGCCACTTGAAGATGTAATAAATGTATATACCCTTTTTGTTTCGTTTTCTCTCAGATTCTGGAAAGTTGAGTAAAAGAAAATAGTCAACAATTGCAGCAAACTCTTTAAGAAGCAAAATAATAAGAGAAGAAGAAGATGGCAGGAGGGTCGTTTGGTCCGACCGGTGTGGCTAAAGAAAGAGCAGAACAATACCAAGGGAAAGTCACTAGCTATGTCATCATCGCTTGCCTTGTTGCAGCCATCGGTGGATCCATCTTTGGATATGACATTGGAGTCTCAGGTTCTTATCTTCTTCTTCCTCTTTAGTCTTTGCAATCCAAATTCTGAAAATGGGTCAAAAAAAATTTGAGTTTTTGGTTAACAGGAGGAGTCACATCAATGGATGAGTTCCTTGAGGAGTTTTTCCACACAGTGTATGAGAAGAAGAAACATGCACATGAGAGTAACTACTGCAAATATGACAATCAGGGATTAGCTGCTTTCACTTCTTCACTCTACTTGGCTGGTTTGGTTTCCACTCTGGTGGCTTCACCCATCACTAGGAACTATGGAAGGCGTGCGAGTATTGTCTGTGGTGGAATCAGCTTTCTTCTTGGAGCTGCTTTGAACGCTGGAGCTGTTAACTTAGCTATGCTTCTCGCCGGAAGGATCTTGCTCGGTGTTGGCATTGGCTTTGGCAATCAGGTTAGGCTTTAGACACAAAGACAATGTTGATTCTTGATTCCGCCATAAAACCAAATCTCATTGCTTGCTCATGTTTTGCTTTTTTCAGGCGGTTCCTTTGTATTTATCAGAAGTGGCACCAACGCATCTACGAGGAGGTTTAAACATGATGTTTCAGTTAGCTACAACGCTAGGGATCTTCACGGCGAATATGGTCAACTTCGGTACTCAAAAGCTTAAGCCTTGGGGATGGAGACTCTCTCTAGGTTTAGCTGCTTTCCCTGCTCTGCTCATGACTCTCGGAGGTTACTTCTTACCGGAGACTCCCAACAGCTTGGTCGAGAGAGGACTGACGGAGAGAGGAAGACGAGTTCTTGTGAAGCTAAGAGGAACGGAAAACGTGGACGCCGAGCTTCAAGACATGGTGGACGCGAGCGAGCTAGCGAATTCGATCAAACATCCGTTTAGGAACATTCTCCAGAGACGACACAGGCCTCAGCTAGTAATGGCGATCTTCATGCCAATGTTTCAGATCCTCACAGGGATTAACTCAATCCTCTTCTACGCTCCTGTTCTGTTCCAGACAATGGGGTTTGGAGGAAACGCTTCTCTCTACTCATCAGCTCTAACAGGAGCTGTTCTCGTCCTCTCAACATTGGTTTCAATAGCGTTAGTGGACAAATTAGGACGAAGAGCTCTTCTCATCAGCGGAGGATTGCAAATGATAATATGTCAAGTCATAGTTGCAGTGATCTTGGGAGTGAAGTTTGGAGACAACCAAGAGCTATCAAAAGGCTACTCAATGGTTGTAGTCATCTTCATTTGCCTCTTTGTGATAGCGTTTGGATGGTCTTGGGGACCGCTCGGATGGACCATACCTAGCGAGATCTTCCCGTTGGAGACTCGTTCAGCGGGACAGAGCATAACGGTTGCTGTGAATCTCCTCTTCACTTTCATCATAGCTCAAGCTTTCTTGGCTCTGCTCTGTGCATTCAAGTTTGGGATTTTCCTCTTCTTTGCTGGTTGGGTCTCTGTGATGACGATCTTTGTGTATTTCCTGTTGCCTGAGACTAAAGGAGTGCCGATTGAAGAGATGTCACTCTTGTGGAAGAAACATTGGTTCTGGAAAAAAGTGTTACCTGCAGCAACAAATCTTCAAGTTGAGGAGAGCAACAATGAGGCAAATAGTTCAGTGTAGAAGAGAATAAATATCAAATAGATTTATGTAAGATTAGTGTTGTTGTTGTTGTCATTATCATCATTGCAAAGCTAGAAACTTTATGTTTATTACATTGGAAAATAATGTGAAGAATTAAAAACAAACAAACACAAAAGCCATAGAAAAAATGCCACAGTGACTGTTGATTCCTCCCCAAAAACTCTATTACAGAGTTGGAATTTTAAGCAGCCAAAGATTGGTTGCAATTGGCGTTGGAGATCACATTTTTCCATCTTTTTCCTCTCTTCTCAGGATGCTTCAACATCTGCTTATAAACTGAGCAGCCAGTACTGGCAATATTTTCCGGCAACGATCTCTAATCCTTTAAAAAGCTCCGATCTGCTTCTTCACAATCTCTATTTCAGTGAGCAATAACATCAGTGCTGTTTCCACCAGTTGATTCGATAACTGAATTTACTGGAGCGTTCAAATTCACCATCATCATCGACGGGAGAGATCTAGCAGCGGCTAACTTCTTCCTCTGGAAGCTATAAGGACCGTAGATCTTTCTCAGAAGATGTGGTACCTGGTCTACCGTCAGATTTCGCGCTTCATCAGCAGAGTTCTGGGAAGTGGAGGGCGGAGGATCGAGTGGGTGCGAGAGGGACCGAGAAGAAGATCTACCGGTGTTGATTCTCGAGTTTCGGATCTGAGCAAGCGCGCCTGGTTTCAAGTAGCGCTGGAATCCGTCGTTTCTTCTCACCGGAGATGTAGAATTATCCTTCATGGTTTAAAAATTCGGCTACGCTTGGGTAGATCGAAGAGATGGAATCTGAGGATCCACAGAGAGAGAAGGAGAGAGATGTGGAAGATCTGTGAATGAAGATTGCTGGATCTAAAGGATTTTGTAATAGAGCGAAGAGGGGCGGGAAAATTGGCGTTTAGGGGTTTTGAGGTGCGATTTGAGAGGGAAAACTGAAAAGATGAGTCTCCGAGAAAACATTTTTTTTTTTCATTTTTCAATCGGTAAGTCATTACCGGTTCTGGATCAGTTATTATAGCTGATGGGCCTTGGTGGGCCCTTTTAGGCCTATTACAGCCACCGAGAAAAGTCTCTTCACTGTCACTGACTCACTGCATAAGCTAACGGAATGATATTCACTAGGCGTTGTTTCCCGCCAATTCGCAAGTTTCCGCCGGCGTCTTTCCCGGTGAAATTCCCGCGCTCTCTCTAAACTCCATTTAAGCTATCAATCCATCACCACTTTCTCTCTCTCATTCTCTCTTCCCATTCCTCTTTCCTGCTGCCAAGTCTGTTCGTTTTTTTCCTCTCAAATGGCGCCGTCTCGCCGACAGATCAACGGAAGGTCTCCGTTGGTGAACCCGCAGCGTCAAATCACCGCCTTCTTTGGTAAATCTACTGCATCTTCTTCTCCCTCTCCGTCACCAGCTCCATCTCTCTCCGATAAGAAAACCCCCAAATCTAACCCTAAATCTAATTCTCCGTCTCCGTCACCACTCTCCAATAAGAAAACCCCCAAATCTAACCCTAAATCTAATTCTCCGTCTCCATCACCGTCTCCACCTCTCTCCAATAAGAAAATCCCCAAATCTAACCCTATCTCGGACCCTCCTGCTCGTGCTCCCAGTCCAGGTCCGGCGACTCCTTCTCCTATACAGTCCAAGTTTAAGAAGCCCCTCCTCGTCATCGGACAGACGACACCTTCTCCTCCGAAATCGGCGGAAATTACTTACGGGGACGAGGTGGTCGGAAAGCAAGTGAGGGTTTTCTGGCCGTTGGATAAGAAATGGTATGATGGGAGTGTGGCATCGTATGATAAGGGTGAGTGTAAGCATGTGGTCGAGTATGATGATGGGCAAGAGGAGGCTTTGAATTTGGGGAAGGAGAAGATCGAGTGGGTGGTTGGTGAAAAATCAGGAGTGAGGTTTAAGCGATTGAGACGAGGCACTTCGGCTTCCAGAAGAGTTGTGACGGATGATGATGATGATGTGGAGATGGGTAATGCGGAAGAAGAGAAAGAAAATCAAAGTGACTGTGATGACTCTAGCGATGAAGATTGGGAAAAGAACGTGGGTACGGAGGTATGTGAGAGCGAGGAAGATGATGTCGAGTTGGATGATGAGACTGAGATTATGGATGAAGAAGAGCTGGTGGAAGAGAAAGATGAAGAACCTCCCAAGATAAATAGAGTTTCGAAAACTGACTCTAGAAAGCGGAAGACTAGTGAAGTAGCTAAGTCAGGTAGTGAGAAGAAAAGCAGGATTGATAAGGACACTACTTTGAAAGGTTTTAAAGCATCTGTTGTGGAGCCTGCGAAGAGGATTGAAGAAGGTAAACCGAAGATTCTCTTGTTTTAAACATATAAGTGCTTATTTTTGCAATTTTGGTTAGTGATACTTCAAGGTTTCATCTCGTGCTGAAATTTGGCTTAAGATGGTGTTCATTGTTGGTTGCTAAGTTTTCCCTTGTCTTACTGCAGCTGATAGGGTAATCAAGGCTATGGATGATAACATATTAGATGGGGATGCTCTGGCTAGATTTGGTGCACGTGAATCTGAGAAATTTTGCTTCCTGGGAGTGTAAGTCTTTCACTATTTTGTTCCATCCTAGAGGCTATTTTTTACGGTGGTTAGGAGTAGAAAGAATCTAGAACTTTGCCTGATTTGTGTCTTGAGCAATAGTCATCTCTGATTTCAGGAGCATCTCTGTTCTTGTTTTACCTTTGATAACGTATTACTAGGTTGCGTGAACCCTATAGCTAACTGTTAATACATAAGTTCTTACAAATTACTTCTGGTGAGCAGAGACCGAAGGGATGCAAAAAGGAGACGCCCTACTGATGAGAATTATGATCCAAGGACACTCTACCTTCCTCCTGATTTTGTGAAGAGATTAACAGGAGGCCAGGTAAGAGCACATGTAAATCTGGTTCACAATATTTTGATGAAGCTAAACACATTCCACTTATTTGGTTTTGTGGCCTTTTTTCAGAGACAATGGTGGGAGTTTAAGTCAAAACATATGGACAAAGTTGTTTTCTTCAAGGTAGATCAATAATTACTTATTACTCAGAACTTATTTATTGGTGGGAGGTTTGAGAGTTAAATGGTTTTCTTTTGTTGACAAACAGATGGGTAAATTCTATGAGCTTTTTGAGATGGATGCGCATGTGGGAGCCAAGGAACTTGATTTACAGTACATGAAGGTAACTGATTTCTTAGAACTCATAAGTTGTTGATGCTTTTCGATATATCTCTTGAAAAATGTACAAGAATCCAAAGGATTGACATCAGATCATGATAAAAAGGCACTGTGCATTTCTCCTGTACTTTATGTATCTAATGTTTTCCTCTTTTAAAGAAGCTGATGTAGGTTTTTGTTTTCTAGGGAGAACAACCTCATTGTGGATTTCCCGAGAAGAATTTCTCTGTAAACATCGAGAAATTAGTTATTAAGGTTTGTTTCCAGAATCATTGCAATTCCAGTCTAAAGTGTGATTTATTTCTTGTTATGTGAGGGAGAAATCACCTTCATGGGCAGAAGTTATACTGTTGAGTGGAAATAAAGCTGACTGAATTGAATGGAACAGGGCTATCGGGTTTTAGTCGTGGAGCAAACAGAAACACCTGATCAGCTGGAGCGACGCCGAAAAGAGAAAGGCTCCAAGGATAAAGTAGGTCCCACTAAAAATCTGGTTATAGTAGGCATCAACACTTCTAGTCAGTGAATTTGGTTAATGAGACTAAAATTCATTTACTATGGCACCAGCCATTGTTAAAAAACTTATGATAGGGAGGTCTCTTAGTGACATTATTCATGTTCTTGTAGGTTGTGAAGCGTGAAATATGTGCAGTTGTTACAAGAGGCACGCTCACAGATGGGGAGATGCTATTAACTAATCCGGAAGCGTCTTATCTGATGGCGTTGACTGAAGGAGGAGAGAGTTTAACTGACCAGGAAGCAGAGCACGATTTTGGTGTCTGTTTGGTTGACGTTGCAACTAAGAAGATCATTCTGGGGCAGGTGGGTTCTAGTCCTGTATTGATTTGATGAAAAGCCATGCATGTTTTGAATCATCTCTCTTAGATATTTTCAGCTTTTTACTTTTGTAATCTATTTGACTGAATTTTATTTGAATTCCTACCAGTTCAAGGATGATCAAGACTGCAGTGCATTATCCTGCCTGCTCTCTGAGATAAGGCCGGTGGAAATTATTAAACCAGCAAACGTTCTGAGTTCTGCAACAGAGAGAACAATAGTTAGATATACCAGAAATCCCTTGGTAAATAATCTGGTTCCACTTTCTGAATTCTGGGATGCAGAGAAGACAATACATGAAGTTGGAATTTTCTACAAGAGAATCAGTTGTCAACCGTCTTCTGCTTATTGCGGTGATGGATCCCTGAACAACGAAAGTGGTTCAAGCGTTCTACCAAAAATGTTGTCTGAATTAGCAACTGGAGATAAGAATTGTAGCCTGGCACTCTCTGCGCTTGGTGGTGCCATTTACTACCTGAGACAAGCTTTCTTGGATGAGAGTCTTCTTAGGTTTGCCAAGTTTGAATCCTTGCCTTACTGTGATTTCAGCAACTTTACTGAGAAGCAGCACATGGTTCTTGATGCCGCTGCCCTTGAAAACCTTGAGATATTTGAAAACAGCAGAAATGGAGGCTTTTCAGGGTAAAGTTTCTCGATCAAACTATTTATTATCAAACATAATTGATATGTCTTCTAAATCTAAAGTGAGTGTTGTCTTTTGTAGAACGTTGTATGCACAACTGAATCAATGTGTCACTGCATCTGGGAAACGGTTACTGAAGACATGGCTGGCAAGACCTTTATATAACCTGGAACTGATCAAGGAACGTCAAGATGCTGTAGCAATTCTGCGGGTGAGTCTTTGAAAAATTGCTCGACTCTGCTGACATGTTGCGAATAAGCAGTGGGATAGACAATAACCTGACATCTTGGTTTCCCATTTTCCCTTATTCATTTTCTGTTTTGCAATCCATGAACAGATCTCTTCAAATCTACTCCATTTTCCCATTATGGGTGTTTAAGATCTTGCTATGCCGCTGTATGTCATGGCAAAGATGACGTTTTTTTATGCTTTCAACTAACCATATATTTCTGGAAATTATTTCCTTAGTATTATGAAGCTTACTCTGCATGCAATGTGAAGAATCGTTTATGTCTGACGATTATTTGAATTATGGTACTGTCTTCAGGGGGAAAATCTCCCGTACTCACTGGAGTTTCGGAAGGCATTGTCCAGACTTCCAGACATGGAGCGGTTGATTGCGCGTATCTTTTCTAGCATGTAAGGGATCAACTGGATTAAGGAGATGTCATTTCTTGCATATTTATACCAGAGATCTACTCACATTTTTGTTTAATCATTGCGTTACATGTTACAGTGAAGCTAGTGGAAGAAATGGAGATAAAGTGGTTCTGTACGAAGATGTTGCAAAGAAGCAGCTACAAGAGTTCATATCAACTCTACGTGGTTGTGAAACAATGGTAGACGCATGCTCTTCACTTCGTGTTATTTTGAAGCATGAGAAATCCAGGCGGCTGCTTCACTTACTTACACCTGGTACATCGCTACTCTCCATATTCATATTTTTAGACTGGTAAATCCACAGCATCTTACTAACTTTGTTCTGTCAGGTCAAAGTCTTCCAGACATCTCATCCTCCATTAAGTATTTCAAGGATGCTTTTGACTGGGTAGAAGCTCACAGTTCTGGACGTGTAGTACCTCATGAAGGAGCTGATGAAGAGTATGATTTTACTTGCAAAACGGTTAAAGAATTGGAATCCAGTTTGACAAAACATCTGAAGGAGCAACGAAAACTACTTGGAGATGCATCAGTAAGAAATATTTCCATATATGTTTTTGCCCCTTGAATGCCTAATCAACTGAGGATGCTGATCAGAGCTTCGGTGATCTTGTCCAGATAAATTATGTTACAGTTGGCAAAGACGAATACCTCTTGGAAGTTCCTGAAAGTTTAAGTGGGCATGTTCCTCAGGATTATGAATTATGCTCATCCAAAAAGGTAAACAAAAGTTTCCCATTTTAAAGAAAGATGCATTTCATTCTCATATTAACAAGTTGATGTTTTAGTTGAATCTTTCTGCCCCTGCATTTCTGATTGTTTCATCTTAACATCGCTGTTAGGAGGGTATAAAGAGGCGCTATAATTTGTTAATGGGATTTTCGTACTGTTTACCCCCATCTTTTCAGGGTGTCTGTCGATACTGGAGTCCTACCATCAAGGAATTATTAAAAGAGCTATCACAAGCAAGAACTGAAAAAGAGTCTGCCCTAAAGAGCATTTCACAAAGATTAGTTGGTCGTTTCTGCGAGCATCAAGAAAAATGGAGGCAATTGGTTTCTGTAACAGCTGGTATGGACAAGTTCATGTTTTCTAATTTTTTGTCTAAAAATTCCAGCTTTGGTTTGTCCTTTCATTCAAAGAATTTATCAGTATCTTCCTCTAGAAATTCATCATTTCTTAGTAAGTACCTGTTAACTACTGCCACCCGAGTGTTAGCTTAGTGAGGCATGGTTTCTTTACATCTTTTAAGCAAAGAGATTACTTGAGTAGAAGATTTATTAATAGAATTATGCAAGTAATTTTGATGCGCTTAGATCTTTCTTTGGATGCGTTGTTGACATGAATTCATATTATTGCAGAGCTGGACGTGTTGATCAGCCTCGCTTTTGCAAGTGATTCTTACGAAGGAGTAAGATGCCGCCCAGTTATATCAGGTTCTACGTCTGATGATGTTCCTCGCTTGTCCGCCACTGGTCTAGGGCATCCAGTTCTGAGGGGTGATTCATTAGGCAGAGGCTCTTTTGTACCAAATGATGTAAAGGTTGGTGGTTCGACGCAGGCCAGCTTCATTCTCCTCACAGGCCCTAATATGGGTGGGAAATCAACCCTTCTTCGTCAAGTTTGCTTGGCTGTAATCTTGGCTCAGGTAACGCTATCATTTTTTTTGAATTATAAAGGCGATGGACCTTGATCCATTCAATGTCGATGAAAGAGAATCAAGCAATGATGGTTTGTTTTCACAGATTGGAGCAGATGTCCCAGCAGAAACCTTTGAGCTTTCGCCTGTAGACAGAATTTTCGTCCGTATGGGCGCAAAAGATCATATTATGGCAGGACAAAGCACGTTTTTGACAGAACTTTCAGAAACTGCTGTAATGTTGGTAAGTAATATTCATACTTGTTATCTTTTTGAGTTTTGTTAACATGCATTGTTATAAACTATGCGGAATACCAACAGACACACTGATAAAAGGTTATAATATCATAATATGCAGTCATCAGCAACCCGAAATTCTCTGGTGGTGCTAGACGAGCTTGGACGAGGAACAGCCACATCAGATGGACAAGCCATTGCGTATGTTGAACCATTTCTGTGTAGTTTGTTGTTGGCGCTTGCTTTTATCAATGTTAAGATTATCTAAAATCATCTTTAATATCTTTACAGGGAATCCGTACTTGAGCACTTCATAAACAAGGTGCAGTGTAGAGGAATGTTCTCTACTCATTATCATCGTCTCTCTATGGATTATAAAACCAATCCAAAGGTATTGTGTTGTGATCAATACAACTGTTAGAGTACTTGATTCTGCGTTTGGAAGACTTGTTGTGACTTTTTTGTATACATCTGAAGTTTACTCAAAACCTGATTGCTCTTGATATTTGTTTTTGATAGGTATCACTTTGCCATATGGCATGTCAAGTGGGAGAAGGAAGTAGTGGAGTGGAAGAAGTTACGTTTCTCTACAGATTGACGCCTGGTGCGTGTCCTAAAAGCTATGGAGTCAACGTTGCTCGGTTAGCTGGTAAGTAACATTGAACAATCAATCGCCTCAAGCTTTGAACAAAAGCATTCGCTACTCATCATTTTTTGTTTTTGGTTTCAATCTGAATAGGTCTTCCAGATTATGTACTTCAGAGAGCCATGATCAAATCCCAAGAATTCGAAAGCTTATATGGTAAAAACCATAGAAAATCCGATCATAAAATGGCAGAGATGATGAAGCAGATCATCGGTAGCGTTTCATCAGATTCTGATAAGGACTCATTGTCTGAGCTACACTCCATGGCCAACACATTTCTCCAGTTATAAGTACCAACTGGCTTTAGCTGCCTCTATGCCTTTCCTGTTTGCCAATCGATGAGCTTTGTTCGTGTCAAAAACTAAAACCTGAGTCAGTCGACAAATTTGAAACTCCGACTAGACTCATTTTGCGGTTTTAGCTTCAGAGCCTTTTGTGAAGTTTTGGGGGTTTCGGTCTTCAGACTCTGTAAAGGATCGGTTGCTTTTGTGAATGTAATGTTAATGGCAGATTCTGTTTCTCTTAAATGGTGAAACTTAACAAAGTAGGCGAAAGTAATTTTCTTTAATCACGACACAATTAGTAAAACTTTTATAGACTTATAGTGACAAAGACACTCTTTAGTTACTTAAATTTGTTAACTAAGCAGAGGATTAACAAGATTTTGATTAGAACGGTTAAACAGATTGCCAATTTGGATTACCCCATCATATGTAAATTTACGTCTTTGTTTTTTTTTACTTTGAACTTTACAGACAATGAGCATCGAATAGATGCTATTCGTTAAGAAATAAGAATTAGAAAAGATAAAAAATCGTTAAATTCGTTAATTTGTGTGTTTTAAGCCAAATGTTGTTGTTGCTCTTCTTCTTCCGAGTCATCGTCGTCTACATCGTCGTCAGAGCTCAACGTATCTTCTTCAGATTCCTTCATTTCAAAAACATCACCAAAAGTCAACAAATGTCGAGCGAGAGTTGAAAATTTCACAGTTGGCATTAATAGCATATAGGTTTGGGCTTCGTGATGATATATGTATTCAAAGTCAAATTCCGTTTCTAAGATATTTCACATGATCACAAATCTTTGCAAAACGTGGTACCTACGAGCGATTAATACGTAGTCGCATGCGTGAATACTATTATTCATCACATTCACATCTCACATGCAAATTATTTGGAAATACGTGGTCAAACATTTATATATACTATGCACATAAATCTATCTATTTTGTGTATAAAAATGACTTTGGGAATTAATCAATTATAAAGTAAGCTGAGGAACTTACGGGATATTGATGACGACGACGGAGAGTTTTCTGAATAGATGTGATTGTCCGAATTATAATGAACATTGGCAATAAAATTCCAATTGCCTTTAATGTTAGTACCTGCACAAATCAAATCAAATTCATCCACCCAATTCTTATTTTCAGATATATTTAAATACAAGTAATATAATTATGGCTTTTTGTTACTAGCTGATTTAATGATTGGTAGAAATCATTTTACCGTAAATACTGTGAATGGATACTCTTCGGTTCCATAAATCACATCGAGCGTATGTTTCATCAGCAACAATACTGAAATCTGCGCAGAACAATGTATACATTAGTTTGAAGGACAAGTATACTTCATTCACACTAACATTGGTTTAACTGAGGTAAAATATGATTTAACTTTAACTAAAAAGGTCCAAAATCATAAACATTTGGCTTCACCAAATATAAAAGAAAAGAACACTCTGAGATACGAAGCAATCCAAATTTGGTAAAGGGTAAGAAAATATTTTGGTAGGAGTTGGGGTCTTAGGTGAGACAAGGTTTGTATATTTGTAAAGCCTAAATACTCAAATTCTTGGCCAACCACCAACTTTACCCAACCTATGTGCTTTGCTTTTCCTACAACATTTCTACCATCAAAGAATACTTGCAAATAGTTTCAGACAGGAGAAATAGCTATTATAGGTCAGTGACAAATTATATAACGGTAACATTTTACATTATTTTTTTTTCATGATGGGAAAGGAAATAAAAGAACACATTTATAGGCTTTGCCACACAGCTACGAAATAGATTTGGCCAAAAAAGCTATAAACAGAGTAAGTAGTGGTTGCCACATCTATTTCAGAGCTCCTCCCTAAACTAAAGACTTTTTCCTTTCTCATCATTTCTGTTTAACTAATTTATTAGTGTTAGTTATCTCTTACTATCATATTATAATGACAACTTTCCAACCAAAATTCTGGTAAAATACTCGAAAAGAAAGGATTAAGATATAAAAAGAGAGAGAGAGAGTGAGAGAGAACTTACAGTGAAAGTTAGTGATCTGCAAAAGAAAGCTCCTCTATCAGCAACAGAGTTACACTGAGGAAAATCAGGTTGAGATATAGACACTAATCTTCTACTTCTTCTTCGTCCATTTTCTCTGTTCCATTGAAAAAAAAACAATTATTTTTTGTAGAATATTTGCAAGCTATCTTCTCTACGCGTAAGCAAGTAAGGAATCAGGAAACCACGTCAATGAGTCAATTATTTTGCAGTTTCCAATTTGTTTTGAATTAATTTGTGTTTCTTTTATCAAAAAATAATTACCTGATTGTGATGACTTCTGCTTCAATCAACTTAGGTTGTTTTGGCACTGCCGTATATCCATGTCTATACACCTGCCAGATTACAATGTTAATAGTTTTTTCTTTTACACATGAATTATGTCATTGTAACTCAAACTTTTAAAACAAGTCATGCTAATTTTACTGAGGCACGTAGAAATAATGTTTTTAATTTTTTTTTTACTGAATTTAGAAAAACAAAACTTAAGTTCACAAGTGATTGCGACGACCAAATTATATTTATTTATTTTTCCTAAATGATAATTATTTATTTATCGGTATGAAAAGTGTTTTGACGACAAGAAAACAACCAACACGGAAGAAACAGTGACGCAATAAGCAATTCAAGAAATTGGAGACAAAACAGCGAAGCGCACATCACAACATCAAAAAAGAAACAATTTTATCGGAAAAAAAAATTGGTAAGTCGAGAAACAAGAAGAACCTGAAGACAGATTTCGCAAGTCGTGTTTCCTTTCTCGTTACACCAACGTTGTATGCAATCTCTGTGTGCGAACTGATCCCACAAAAAAAACTTGATCAGTTTCAAACTTTGAAACACGCAAAGAAAAGTAAAACCCGAAACGATTGATAGTAATCAAAATTAGAAACCTAGAAGAAAATTTCTGTACCTTGACGGTTCCTGAGCAAGCACAAGGAACTTCGAAAAAACTTTCTGCTTCTTCTTCATGGCAGATTCTGCAACGAGATATTTTCAACTTCAAATTCGCCTCATCGATGTACAAAATTACGTCTCCCATCTCTTACTGTCTATGGATTCTTCTCTGATTTCGATTTTTTTTTTTCGAAACTTCTTATTGGCTCTGTTTTTTTAAAAAGCTTTTGCTCTGTTTTTGTTATCCTCTGAAGAATAATAATAGTAGCTTTTATGGCAGAGAGACTTCAACTTTTTATACACAGCCTTTTAAGCAAAAATGTATGCGAATTTCCGATATTACCCTTACTTATGTATATCTCAATCCTTTTTTTCAAGTTCCCATAGAGAATCATTTCTTTGTAGCTAAAAACTTTTATTCGGTATTTAATACTTTGAGATGAAAGAGGTAGAACCAAATAATTATGGGATTTTTTATAGTATTTTGCATAACATAATGTCCGATCATATTATTCTTGTACAAAACAGAAACGGCCAATAAAAAAAATATTAGAAGTTAATAAAACAAAACGCGGTTCTGTAAGAGCTGGAAGAAAGATTATTTCAAATCAAGAGTTCATGCAAAAAGGCCGTATAATTGTCAACTATGAGATCACACAAGTCAACATAAACCTCGACTTTTCTCATTTCCTTCTTTATTAAGAAACTATCAAATGGCAAAAACTTTACATAATACTGTCATTTTATATTTGATTAGCTTGGTTGTTGTAGTTTCTGTGTTATGAAATGAAAGCTAAGAGTTTAGTGAATTAGAGAAGTAAGCAAACCCTTAAATCTTAATCTAGTTGATCATAAAGAGAGGAGGAAAGTAAAGAGATGGTACGTGTATATGACTGTAAGAACAGTTGCAAACCTTCAAATCATGGTGGTGTTTAATCTAAAACTCAATTACCCTAACCTGGAATAATACAGTAGGTTAGCTTTCATTTCATTAAAAACTTTTTCTTGTCGTTTCTTGCCTTTTTGTTTATTTTAAAATTCATTTAGCTATTTGGATTAATTATGTCAAACCATAGGATTGACTGGCTTAGCAACAATCTAAATACACACATCACCAATAAATGCCATCAAAATTCAATCTCTCCTTGGAATTGTCGATTTTATACATTCCGGCCGTGGAAGTCCTTTTTTTTCCATTTTGTCAACTAGTATACCACTAACTAATTCAATTATGTCGATAAAACGAAAAACAAAACTTTCTACAATAATCTCACGAAGAGGCAACCTGATTATATGTTAAGGCAATCTGACTAGGTGACTATAATGTATTTAACTTATAGTCCCAATTTTGTTTTGTTTTTGGCTTTAATTATCTTACCAATTTTGGTTTTACTTGTATAACTTGGAGTGTATAACAAATTAACAATATAATTATCTGCAATTCGAATGAATTTTGAAAATGAAGCCTACGGCTCACGAATCGTATGATTGCTTTATCAACGGTCGCCTGGTCAGCTGCTGACTTCACCAGAAATTTAAACTTATGGGTCCCACTTTCATTACAAAAATAATAAAATATCAGCGTACAAAAAGTATACTGTTTATGAATTTAGATTTTAATTCTTCAAAACAAAGTGAGACCACCATAAAACCAAATGAAAAGTGACCATACCTTAAGATACTTGGATAGTACGCATCGTCGTTGTTTTAACAAAACACATCTTTAAAGAAAATAAAAGGTCAAATATCCATTTTGGATTATACTTTGAAGATGATGATCCATACTCTCATGTTTTCTAGCTAAAGCGAAAACAACTTGTTATGTATCAGCACATCACGACAACGATTATCACATTTATTATAATTATCATTATTATTACGTAATTATTATATTATCTAATTATACATCTTCTTTTATTTCGATATACAATTTAGACGCTGACATTTGTGATTTGTGCTTATCTCGTTTTCTTTGCGATCTTATCTTTCTACGTCTTGGAAGTTTGTTGGCCTATTTTATTTTCAGCTAATGATAGCATCTGAAATTAAATATTTAAAAATTCGCCGACGAATCATTTTCTGGTAGATTCTTGTAAATATCATTATGCAGCACTCTTGATTAATTAAACCTCGTATGTCGACCAAAACTAAACTTCATATCCACTTTAAATTGTACCGCCAGTAAATTATAAGTACTGCTGGTCAAAATAATATGTAACTTTGGCAAGAAAATAGTATTAACTATTAACAGACATCAATGTGGATTGATTGTCACTAAAATATGTTCTTTATTATACAACAACAACAACTAAAAATTGTTCTTAAACAAAAACATAATTTAATAGTTTGTGTGAATACTGACTGAATACTGTTGTTGTTAGACTAAAAGGCCGAAAGGATTTGGGTCAGCTTATATAAATCTTTAACTGGGCTTAGTGGACTCTTAAATCTCTAATTGGGCTTGCCTTTATATGTGGAGACAGACGGTATCATTGTGGGTCCGTTTGTGATTTCGGAATCCGGACTGCTTGCCGTTTTCTTAACGAGCCACTCCAAAAAGGAACTGGGAGAAACGCCTCGCTTGTCTTTACTCATCTTCGAAGCTATATTAGAATCCTCCCTTCCTCACGATCTCTCTCTCTTCTGTGTTCTCTGTGTCGCGATCGGATCTTTTTGAGTTGTGTGGTTGGAGAGGATCGAGCAGTCATGTTCATGATCGATTGGTTCTACGGCGTTCTCGCTTCGCTAGGGCTATGGCAGAAAGAGGCTAAGATCTTGTTTCTGGGACTCGATAATGCCGGTAAAACAACCTTGCTCCACATGTTGAAGGACGAGGTTCGCTCTCTCTAATTATTCAATCGTGTTATCTCAATCTTCGCTATCGAATCGATCCAATTCGTTTTTGTTTTGTTTAGTTTCCACTTTTTATGACCTTGATTACTCTTCGTCCCCGATGATGTATGATTCGTCGTAGATTGTTCTAAACCTAGCTTCCGTGACTTATTCGATCTCCAATTTTGCAAAGTTTTGTTGTTTCAGTTAAGTGAAGTTTCTAATTTTGGAGTAGATAGATGCTAACTTCGATTTAGGAATCTTCGTCTATGTAGTGATTGAGTCCTTTTAAGCTGAATCCAGATTAGTGTTTTCTTTCTGTGTTTAGGCTCCACCAATTCTGTATTGGACTGTTCTTCTGGAAGTTACCAAAGCTTATTATGTGCTTTCTAGATTGATTGAGCTCAAACAGTTTGTATTTGCTTCACTGATCTGAATTGAAATTGGTGAAAACAGAGATTGGTACAGCACCAGCCGACGCAGCATCCAACATCTGAAGAACTTAGCATTGGCAAAATCAAGTTCAAGGCTTTTGATTTGGGTGGTCATCAGATTGCTCGCAGAGTCTGGAAGGATTACTACGCTAAGGTAAAGCAAATCTCCTGCTTGACAACTTAAGCTTTTGTCGATTTTATCTGTTTTCTTGTGCTCTCACTTCACCTGATCACTATATCTTCCTAGTGAAAGCCTGGTTTGTAGTTTTGCGCATAGGCAATTCATCATGTTGAATAATTTTTAAAATAGTGTGGAAGATTGAGTATAAAGCCTTCTCTTATAATCTTTGAAAGTCAATAAGCATAGTAGAATCAGAATGTTTTACCTATTCAAGCTAGTTTTATTAACCTTGAGCTTTGGTGATCTTCTCTGTTTTATGCAGGTGGATGCTGTTGTCTACCTAGTGGATGCTTACGACAAGGAGAGGTTTGCAGAATCGAAAAAGGAACTGGACGCACTTCTCTCAGACGAATCTCTAGCAACCGTTCCATTCCTCATTCTAGGAAACAAAATAGACATACCGTACGCTGCATCAGAGGACGAGCTCCGTTACCATCTCGGTCTCACCAATTTCACTACGGGGAAGGGAAGAGTGAATCTCGCGGATTCGAACGTGAGACCATTGGAGGTGTTCATGTGCAGCATCGTCAGGAAAATGGGTTACGGCGAAGGCTTCAAATGGCTCTCTCAATACATCAAGTAAGGCAAAGACTTCCAAACACATATGGCGTTTATTGTTTAAACCCTAAGTTTCTTTCTTTTGTGTTCTCTTTCTTTTTCGTGTGTTGTAAGAATTGGCTTTAAAAAACTTAGCTCCTCGTTTGTCTCTCATCCTTAGACTGGTTTGTTTCTTGTAGTGATTTTTTTAACATTTACATGTTTGGTAATTTATATTATTGTTGAAATAAGGGAGAAAAAAATTAACTTTGTGAAGTTAGTTAACTAACCCAACATAGAGATATGTGGTTGAACAGTTTTTTTCACGCATAGTCAATATATAAATAATAAAATTTCAAGTACGTGTAGATGTAGATATAGACGTACTAGCAGCAAAAGAGTTTGTTTGTTTGTCAGACCGTTGGATGAAACCTTCAAATGAACTCAAACCATACGTGTGATTACCCAACAAACCCATCAAAGTTTTTCATTTCACGTTCTTGATCCCACCACCAATACAATATTTGTTTTGTATAATATAATTAAATAATCATTAACGTCAAGGATGGAATGGTTTAACGAACTCAATACAAACCAAACCATTTTCATGTGGGATGTGTGTGTGTGTATTATATATATTTACACAACCACAAACTCACATAGCTAGGATCATTCTGATCTGAGAATGGGTAACACGGTCGGTTCCCGGAAGTTGGACGCGGCCGGAAAAGTTGTATTGTCTGACGGAAGAGTACAGAACTTGGAGGAAGAGACGACGGTAGCTGAGATTATGCTGGAGAATCCACAACACGTGGTTGTCGAGTTTGATCCGTCATCGATATCGTTCAACAACCGCCATCGGAAAAACAATGGAAACTCGGTGAAGAAAAAGCTGACTCCTCTACCGGCGGACAAGACACTCGAGCCGGGGAAGATCTATTTGGTGCTTCCCGCCAAAAGAGGCGGTGCCAAACCGTCATCAGCGGGGATGACTTCAGAGGAGATACGGAAAATGCTGTTTAGCGCGACGGCGATGGTAAGGTCATCGTTTAGCTCCTATGATGGGATTCTTCCTTGGTTTACTACTAGAAGTTTTAATAATAAAAATGGTAATAATCCGGCGGCTGATGCGGTGGTTGCTGCTACATCGGTTGGAAGATTGGAGGCGGAGGCGGAGACGGATGAGGAAGGTAGACCGGAGTTTTTGAGCCGGCAACTATCGGGAAGAGGGTGGAAACCAAGCTTGGATCCAATCACAGAAAAGAAAGCAAAGAAGAAAATACATCAACTGTTGTTGTTTTGAATACGGTGTCGTTTTACTAATTTCTCTGTATCGTGTTTTTGTTTGTGGTAAATTTGTAAATCGTGTTTCATTTCGTGCGTGTGTGTATGTACGCCGGTCACGAGAAACTCACGTGAATACCTCTCTGTTTCCTTCAGTACCTTCTTTGTTACCAAAGTGAAGTACCCAAAAGCCAATTAGCCAAATTTTATATCACTTCGCTGTGTTATTACAGGCACACTTGCAAACAAACCAAATCAATTTCGGTTAGGTTGGGTCTAGTTCTGTATGAGAAAAGCAAGAGAAAAAGAGAGCTAATTGGTGTATTTATTTAGTGAACAAATAAATGTTGGAAACCAAATCTTGGTCATCTTTCCACCATTGGTGTATCCCATGAGCTTCCTTATAATCTTGGTTACTGGCGGTGGTCCGGTTTACGATTAGCTTTGCAGATGGGATAACGTGAACCGGTTCTTGTACTTCCACAGCGTTATTCACTCCCATGGCATCCATCAGCAAACCTCCCAAAGAATGCTGCATCGCCATCCTCTCCACCATCCCAGCTCCATACCCAAACTTGTCCATTGTTCCTCGGTGCTCAAAGAACCCAATGTACTCCGAGCACAGATGATCCCCTGGATTCACATAGATCTCAGGAAGCCAAGAACACAGCATATCCTCACAAGAGTTCTCTATCCGCAGCTGCTGTTGTTGCTGCTGCGGTGTTTGTTTGAGGGTTCTGGAGAGAGCGAGTCCTGCTGTGATAATGCTCCCGGCGATTCGAATCCCTTGCCTAACCTTTTCGTTACCGATCCTCTCAATCGGAGGCGACACGAACGGAGGGTTGAACAAGAACGACTTTAAATGAATCCCAGTCTTCGCCAACGTTTTGCCAGCGAGAAGCGCCATCGCTGCACCCATAGAGTGTCCTGTTAACCACAGGCTTGAACCAGAACTAGAACCAGCCATGCTTCTCACAGCCTGCATTGCAATCTCAAACCGGGACGTTCGGTGGAGGCCGTTGCGGATAATGTGGATATCTAACTCAATGTCACGGGAGATCGAATCCGGTTTAGTCAAGGTTCCTCTAAAGGCTATGACATACCTCGGAGGAGCTATAGAGACGTCGGTGGTGGAGGTTTCTGGTGGTTTGTGTTCGTAAATGCCGCCGAAGATGGAGAAGTCAGCGTCGTCTATAAGGTTACGGATGAGTTTGAAGCTGAACGATTCCCACCATGGAGAAGCGAGAGCTTCAGAGCCTTCGCGTTTTAGCTGACGGTCACGCTCTACTATGTATATCCCTTGGACCAAACTAGCTGCTACACAACGCTGGTGATCTTCGTTATTCCTGCAAAAATTCAGAAACAACGACAAATTTGAATTTGAGATTGGAGATTGACGAAGAGGAAAGTTGAAATCAATGGTTTAGTTAGAGAGATCAATTATATACCAATCGAGATTTTTGAGGAGGTGTGTGGGTCCGCAGAGGCTAAAATCTTCGCTATCAGAAGAGGCCATTGCTCTTAGCTATCTGCTGCAATGCAAAGTGGTGATGATGCTGTTCAAAATCTCAAAATCAAAGGAAGAAGAAGAAGACATTTGACATTTTACAGATCATTTTAAGCGAGCGACAAAGTGAGTAATGGTATTTGGCATGAGATCGAAAGCTTTGCAAATTTTGTAATTGAAGGTGAACCCTAGCTTAACTAACTCGATTGATGATGAAGATCGAACCAATTCACTCAAAAATCGAAAAAATTGGAAGAAATGGAGAAGGAAAAATAAGAAATTGATACCTAAAGTGAGGATTGAAGCAACAAAATGCGTTCTCTTGTGCAGAAATTCTCCTCCTCCTTGAAGAAGCAGCGACGTTGAGAACTTGGAGCAGGAAGAATCTGTTGGATGGTTATGCGAAACGACGTCGTACTAGCGAAACAATGACGTGCGTTTTGTGTTACTCTCGTGGGCTTCCTTAATTTAGGAATTAGGATTAACATGGTTTATGCTCAAACATCAAACTTTTAATGACGCACTTTATTTTATTTTTGAATCTTAAAGAAGATAAAAAAAATTGTAGGAAAATGGTGACGAAGATAAGCATTAATTAAAATCGGTCACTAATAGCATGTTTTCTTGTTTTGACATTCATGCATTTCTTCATATTCGTGATTTCTCTAAGGAAGAAAATGTGTTGCATGACTTCTTGTTCTTGTTGTTAAATCTAATCTATCATTTTTTTTTTTTTTGCAAACGTGTGTATGTAGTAGTAGATTCATTAGATTTACTTTGCATAAAGCAATGTATATGAACAGAGCAAAGTATCGGTAAAAGGAAATTCTAAAGTATCATCAGTAAGAGGGTAATTCTTGCATGTTGATAGTCGAGAAAACAAAACCAGAATAAATTAAGTAAATGCAAGTTACGTTTTTTCTTTTATATGTGTCAACACTGTTATGTTATAATATGATGAAATTTTAACGGAACAAAATTTACATATGAAAAAGAGGTGTCATAAAATTTGTAATCTTTTGGTGTGATTTCCGTTTTATCTATAAGTATTTGGTTTGTCAACAATTAACACCTGAAGCCGACTTAGCTCAGTGGTAGAGCGCGTGACTTTTAATCCCGTGGTCGAGGGTTCGATCCCCTCAGTCGGCGTTTCTTTTTTTGCTATAAAAAAATATTCAAAATGACGTTAACTACAGAATTTAGCTATGAACGATTGAGAAATGTTAGGTTTTGTAGATTTTTGATTAAAAGTTAATTGACAATGAATGGATGAGCTTTTCTATGTTATATATTATTACTCATTGTTTCTTCCAATATTCGATGCAGGATATTTCTTACACTATCTCTAGGAAGTATGGTCCATAGTCCAATTTTTGTAGTGTAATCTCTAATACGATTCTACAAACTAATGATCTCTTCAAAGTTAATGGTTTCTTTCCGATCGTTAATTTCAACAGACCATCAATTTCGAGATTGACAATACTAAGTTCTTTTATCAAAAACAAAATTTAACCAAGGTTACCAATTATCTGACCTATATACTCCTGATACATTGAGTTTTTTTAGATAACTTTACTAGTATCTTCTCCACTATATGATTCAAAGTCGCTCCTGATACTTGTGAAAAGTATTTTATTATATGGTATATTGGTATAGTAAATTGTAAAAACTAAATGGTTCGCATGTGACACGTGAATTATCGATCGTCTTCCTGCACGAGGCATAGCACGTCGTCCTCCCTCTCATTTTGTTTTTAGTAAAAAACATGACGCCACATTGATGATCTCGAGATATGATTGGCTCATGTTGCAAATCTCATGTTAATGTTAAATATTAACAATTACTTTTCAATGTTAGGTGATAATAACATACGTATGCACCTAAATAAATCAGTTCATTTTCCCCTCAAATAGACAATCTAATACGTAAAAAGAATTGTTTTCTATAATATATACCAATTTCCTCTTCTATTGGAGTAACAAACTAATACTGTCTAAGAAACTGTCTAAGAAACAAAACAGAATTTGTTGCTAGGATGTTATCTATGGAATCGTACACGATTTACGAAATTAAATAGAATTATAGTCAAAAAAACTAATTATGATCATATAGATCTCAACTGTACGAATAAACGCAGTCTAAAATGATGATTAAAATACATTATCACAGATTAAACATGTGGATGTGTAGGTGAAATTTGGATAAGGGAATCTTTAGGGCTTCACAAAAAGTTTGCTACAATGGACACCAACATGTATCGAGAATTGAAGAGCTTACATTAATATATCTTTCACTTAGTTAACTAAATAGCTTAAATAGCAAGTTACCAGTAGATGAGATCGATCTCATTGGAAGGGATATTATATCTCATTACTTTACATTTGAATTCATTATACAGTAGAACGATGGTCAAGCAATGTCTAGTTGTGTTGTAATTAATAAATCGAATTTAGTGGCAAATGGCAACTAATGGACCACTCACGATATTTCATTCGCATCTGTAAACTTAATACTACTATATAACTAGCGTATTTCTGTCGTAATTTACCTTTAATTATGTGTGCTTGCATCTCTGCATGTTTATATAATATTGTGACTCATATATGTATAAACATACGTACATGTAAAGGAACAAAGATATTTTCATGTTTTGCATTATGGATATGCATCTAAAACGCACGACACCATAAGATCGTTAACTACTATTCAATTTTTACAGAGATCGATATTAAATGCACTTTGTACAGAGTAGTGATCATAGTTTAAGTTTCTCCTTTTTCAGTTTTGAAAATCAATACACTAGCATATTAATTTCAGTTTGTTTTTAATTGAAAATGTTATTCAATGTTTTTTCTTTGTTAAAGAGTTTTCTTAAAATGTTATTCAATGTACAATTACTCAATTAGTACGCTCCCACCAAACAACGACTACTCGGCAGTCAGCAGCTGTTCCTGCAGAAATATAAGAACGGATCCAATGAGGGGGAACAAGAAAAAAACCGATAGTTTCATCAATTTTTATTTATTTTCAATTTAATTTGACAACGTTTTCTACTTGTTAACGACAGGTGTCGCACAATTAATTAATTTAGTTTATTGCTAACTATGAACAAAAATACAATTGCAATAGCCGATTAATTTGGAAACATGTAGATAGTTTGGAGTTTTTTTTTTGTTTCTTCTTATTTTGCCACTACCAATAAAACATATAAAAGGGAGTAGCTATAATTTTCGAATTTCTCAAATGCAGTTGTTGATTCGATAACTTTCCCTGATATTTACATGCATCTTCAGTTGTGGAGAAAGGATAAAAATGTTTGCATCACAGAACACAACATGTGTTTGCCCACTTGAAACATTAATGAGTTGCTCTCTTCTAACTCGGCACTTTGTATCCCTCAGCATTTAAAATTTGATGTAAGTTTTTATAATAGTTTTAGAATCCCACCATTATGTTTCATGTCATGATTTTTTAATTTATTTCCCTATATGTGGATCTTGATCTATACCTACCTATATAATACCAACACTAACTAGCAGCATTAGCTGTATATCCATAAGACACATTTATTACAGTAGAGATAAACAAATTATTAGAGTTAATAACTACTATGACATCTCATTTTCACAATGTTACCATTCAAATAAAGCATTAAACTTAAAATCACCGCGTTTGCAACCATGCATCATTTGGATTACGTAATTGTCTAGTGTCATGTGCATCAGACTATAAGCAATTTCAAAACTCGAACATCTCTGAATACCATCGGATCACAACATACCCAAATACATAAAATAAAACAGCATATAGTACTAAAACAAAAGAGATGTTAAGAGCTGGAGACATGAGCTGTGAAGACATGTCTGTATAGAAAGAAACCAAACCAGACTCTTTGATACATAGAGAACTTGTCATGTTCTGTTGCAATTATGTTATTCTTTGCTGGCCCCTTCCACATATTGGAGCCCAATCCAAGACTTCATTATGATTCCTATGATGAGACGTATACATACATATATAATATGAAAACCACAATTATCAGTCATGGTTACTTTTCTCAGAATTAAAAACATATTCCAAAAAAATAATTGGTGGAGTATGTAAGGGAATCGAATTATAAACCTATAACCCTGTATTTGAATTACCAATAATTAGATGGTAAGCTCATGAGATTGTACTTTTCCAACATTATGGCACAACCAGTGTGTCAATTATGTATACTTAATAATTTCTAATAATTGTTTAATTTTGGAGTTTAGGAATTAGGAACATGCATTATTTAGTTATATCCGTCTCGTGATGCCTATAATTAACATTCTCGTTTTCCATGGACCATGGGGTACTCATCACTGTGCCAAAAAAGGTTTTGCTCCAGAATTCTTGCAAATAGCCAAATACTATATTTTCAAAACTATTAAAATGGGTTTAGATCGCTAGGTCAAGTTGTTCCTTATACTAGTTTCATGTATTGTTATAACACGCTATCGGAATTATATAGTCTTTTCAAAGAAGGTTGTATAAAGTTATAAGAACAATTCAATACTGATAGAATTAATATGAGTAATATGTGTGTAATTAAGACTTATGACTAATGACGCATTCCATGACATATGACGAATTCGTCAAATGATGGTGAAAACAGAAATATTCCCCTCGCGACCCTTTTCTAATTGTTTTTGGCTTCACTCTCTTCAACTAAGATAAAACCTTATTTATTTCGTTGTAATCAAATATTTAATATAGGCTAGGCAATTCTCCCTTATAAATTATTTTATGATCACTTGTATCTGTATGAGAATGCCACGTTGGTTTATACAAAGTCATATTCTTATTCTTGGCGTTAACGCAACTATTTCCTCCTAGTTATTTAATTACTTTGTTTTTCTGCCACCAAAAGTCTTTCCTCTATGAATTCTTCTTCAGGGAAAACTAGTTGCCATTGTATTACGAGATAAGTTTCCTTGTCGTTTTAAATTGTTCATTACCTTGTTGAAGAAAAAGTTAGTAGT